TTATCAGCGGACAGGCATGAGTTGAATGCTGCCATGCCCAATCTTCATTGAATAACAATGCAATACGGCTGTTAGAATGCATATCGGAGGTACTTGCGTCGGGGAACCAAAGGCTTTGCCGCTTGTATCCGCAGGAGATGATCAGAATGCGAATATCACGGAGAAGATGTGACAAGCACTTGATAATTTTTGTAAATATCGGAACAAGGGAATGAATTTCTTCATGCTTGGAATACCTTCCAAAAAGTACGAAGGGCAGATTTGTTATAAGAACTCATAACGGATGATCAATCAAACAAGAAGCTTGAGGTTTGAAATTTGATTGGAGCATTAAAAAATTTTTGCTTCTTTGTAAAGAACGCTAACGTTCTGATATCATGCCTTTTCACAATGTTGTAAACATTCATTTGAGTTTTGGATTTAACAAACGCGCATAGAACGGACCACGATGATAATCTCAAGTTCTTAGATGAAGAGTGTTCAGAAAGCATGCGCTGCGATACATAGGGCTTCAAGAAAGTTTTTTATACTTTAATTAACCCCATTTTTTGATACTTTAAATATAGTTTCAAAATCCCAGGGTGTCTGAAGTTTGCAGGATCTAATGGTTGTACATAAACTGCCTCAATCTCAATGCAATAAATTTCAAGACTTCAGTTTCTTCGTGATATTCTATTTCTATGAAGGTTAAGCCAGGTGAGCGAGCCCGTGTTGATGTTGTGCATCGCAATCTGGGTAACCTCAAGGCCATGGTGTGTTCCTGGGCAATGCTCAAAAGGCCTTTCATAAGAGCATTTACACATCATCGCATTATTGCCCCAGGCGTTTAGAGAATGTGGGGTGCGAGTGAGCAGATTAGATACATATCACAGATCAGCTCTTATAGCAAATGTCACATTTTGTATGACCGCTATCTCACTCTGCAAGCAAGATTTTAGTATGTATCTTATAATTTTCTTCCCTATTACTTCATAAAGGCGCAGGTTAGTTAGGAAGAATAAGTGTTCTTGTGAGTTATAAGATAAACATATAGGTGTCTTCGTCTATATATGGGTTAATCGCTGTTTTTTCTTCCATCACGAAATCACAGTCCTTATAAAACCCTTGCATCAAGTAAAAAATGGCGGCAATTAGAGACCATTCTAGATTACTGGACTACTGTATTTTATAACCCTCCAAGGGTCTTTGAGGAGAGGAAATGTAAGGAAACATCGGAAGCGTTTACATGATTTTGGCAATTTCAGCTGTCACTTGTGTCTTCTCTTATCTCTGCATTGTTTGTCTTTCACATCTCAAGAGCAAAGAATACCATTAACAACAGACAGACATCATGCCTTTCGGTTATTTTGCCGATTTTATTTTTATTCTTTGTATTTCATTTCCTTTCTGCGTTCATCCTTATTGTATGAATAAAGCTTTTACTCCTGGACTTGCCGTAGACGTTGCAGTAACACAATCTCCATTGGGTTGTGATTGAAACCAGCATTGGGTGTTCTTTCGCTTCTCTCTGTCCAAGACTTGTGTTGTATTCTGCCTGTAACTGCTCATATGCTGGCAGTTCAAAAACATATTCTTCTTCACGACAATTCCAATAATTTGATTAGCATTTCCTTCTATGACGGAATTCTGCAGAAAAGTTAGCCAAATAAAGGCGCTGTACCTGGGAGTCGCAAAAGAATTTTGTATTGAACACGAATATCGAAAAGGTGACCTGAGCTTGTATCATTTCAAAACTACTACAGAATCTTTCCGAGCATCTTTTTGATTCATGCGAGCTGGGGTTGAAATTCGAATATGATGGGATAATTGCAAAAGTGACCAGTGAGAGTTTTTTGTTGAAAACCGGTGAATTTGACTAACAATAAGGTGCGTTTCTGGTTCAAATTCAGCCCTTGTCAATTTTCTGCAAAGGCAAATCTTCCAAGAGTGCTTTCACTCATCTCTATGGATGCTTGCGGCAAACCTTCATTCCCTCTGAACCGCGCTGAAAGATGAATCACGACGAACATCATAACATAATGGTATGGGAAGCATGCATTTTTCGAAAGATTCAAGAGCAAAGATCAGCAAAGATCAGCCATCTGGCTCAGGAATGCACTTTTCACTGCTGAGCTGGTGCGCAACAGCTGCAGCCCACCCCCCCCCCCCTCAATGCTCTCGCGGTCCTTTTATCAAACATTCGATGTTCCGGCGCGTACGTTTTCGATTCAAAATCTGCCGAATCGATTGCACTCCGGACGCTCCGGAATTTTTAGCCCCTAATTGAATTATAGGTGCTACGTGCACTCTGCACTCTGAGATTTTGATTCAGCGGTGCTATAAAATTTTCACTTTTTCTTATTTACGAAATCATTTTTGCTCTTCTATTTCTACATTGTCGATCAAACCTCTTCGTGGTGATCGTCCAGATTGATTTTGACGACCATACTCATTGATAGCTTTGCTTTCGGCCAGCACTTTGTCAAATTTTTGGGAGTCTGAATGTTTATTCACATATTTTCTACTAAAGTTGTTTGTTCGGCTTAGCAATTTTTTCAAAATCTATTCACTACTTTGAGAGATAGGCCCTTCCTTTTCTGTTATACCTTGGCGTAGACCAAAATTGACAGTTTCCTGATAGAACCTAATAGCTGTCACTTATATATGTTGTTGTGAAAAATTGAGAATATTGCCAGCGAGTTTTTATTTTGAAATGTCAACAATCATACTTTCATTTTGAACATTTGGTCGAAGCCTATGCATGAAAAAATATAACATGACAAATTTCATAGTCGATGCTCAGAACATCAACCAACAACCTTATTTGAATGTTTGACTTGGTTTTGAAAAGCTTCAGCATTTTGGCTTTTGAGGAAAATGACTCATGTATAAACTTTATGCTTTTCGTGACTTCAATATGGCATTTTCCATTCATTCTTCTCACTACGTCACTGGAAGTGACTGAACATTTAGACACTGGAAGTGAACGAAGCTGAACGTCGAAGTGATGCCTTCTTGTATGAGCGTTTTATGCTCCTGTGGGCGCAAAGTCCGCAGCAAAATCCATCGTCACGATTTTCTAAATGAGCTATACTGCAGCAACGAAGAGGAAGATTTTCTAGGCAAAAATCGCCAAATATCATCTACTTTTACTTCAAAGATCTGATTTGGAACCTGATTTGGAATTTAAATAGTAGAATTGCACATTCACTGCTCATTTATAGTCAGCAATCGGCTGAACATTACTGTTAACCTTGTTTCTGACGAATTTATAAAAAAATTTGCAGAAAAACTCGTAAGGACCTACTTATTTGCCTCTTTCTGAGGCGGCAAAAGATTCACTTCTTAATTATTCGCCGCTGACAATCGAAAAATTTTTTTTGTTAGCCATAAAATTCTAGGTTCCCTAAGTATAGAGCAAACCAACGATAGGTCAACTTTATGCTAAAATGTATAGGCTCAAAAATTTTCTGAAACTGTATCGCGACAAGCTTTAAAAGCACAATTCTCTAGCAAACATTTCATATTTTCAAAAATCTTTTTTTTTTGCTATGGATTCCAGGCAATAAAACAGAGAAATTTCACACTTGTTTTGCTGGCCTTTTTGAGATACGGAACACAGATTGAACAAAGCTCCACGAAGACGAAAGTATGTTTGAAAAATCAAAGGAAGGAGCTTTTGAACACTATCAGCGATGTACACAAAGAACGTTCCTTCCTCCAGATTTAGCCACAAAATGAGGTACAAAAAACAAGTAAATTTTGAAACAAACCAATATATTTGCATCTGAATATTACAGAGACGCAAGTATGAAATGCCTAAATATCTGAATGTGTTTGGCCGTCCTGGGAGTTATGTACTTGGTCTTATGGACTTGACAATGATAGACTCGGCTTTACCTTGCATATTGCCCGAAATAGATGTGAAATTTCGCGGATGGTGCTCACTTGTCGCTCAGAACGCACCTCGAGACTTGAGAATCTAGCTGATAAAATGCATGAGCTCTATCCACGTTTGGCAGCGCGTCAAGATTTCAATAGACTGTAAATATTGAAGAAGAGAAGAAATGTTAGGTTGTCCCATAAGTCTTTATCAGACTTTTCACCAGCACAAGTCTGCTCGCGGGGCACCATTCGAAAGATCCAAGCGAGCTCTACAATATGGCTTTCAAAAGTTCGTAAAAGGCTTGATCCGCATTGAGTTTCAAAACAAAATGGAAAAAAGTCCAAAATGCCGAAAAACGAAAGTAATCCTATCTCAGCTAAAAAACATTTTGCGAATTTCCCACTCGCTCACACATATAATCTCTCCATCAGATACTTATTATACACTTGCTGCTTTTTCTAATGGTTAGAAATCGAGAATGCGCTTCATTTTCAAACTTTGCCTGATACGGGTCTAACATAAGTTCCTCGCAAATATGTGATTATACAGCTTATTCATTTAAAAATACTCCCACAGATTCGCACCCTCGTAGATATCTTAGTTTTTGGAAAATATCATTTTGAAGTACGAATTTGAAAAGACTTATGGGACAACCTAATATTGTAGGACTAGGAGGAATGAGTGCAAATTCCAGAGAACAATCCGAACAAAAGTACAACATCATTAACGATGGCAATGGCGTATTGACTCTGTCTTTTCCGCCCGAAAAGACTAATCGACCCATTGTGCCAAAAGTTTTTTACGCTCCCTCTTTCCGCGACCCCGATTTTGAGTTTGTGTGTGCGAAAGATGTTTCAGTGATACTTGGAAATGATCTCACCATTATTTTCCCTATTCTCTCTCCAATCACCACGTGATTATTACAATGGCAAATAGTTAGGTGCATTCGCTTTCTATGACGCTCGAAGCTTAATCTAAATCATATTATAAAGGTAGTCTAATCACCTTTATAATATGTTTTTCCTTCTGTTAGTTTTTTTTGAATTCGCGTTCTTGGGGTAAATCGATTTCCTTTTACATCCTTTTGTATAACAGTTTTTTGGCTTACCCGTCTTTTCTGCTTGAATGATCATTCAGTTCGTCGCGTGTCGCGTGTCGTGCCACCCTTTCGTCTACCTCATGCCACGAATTGAGAACGAACCCAAACTTGACTTCAAAGATGTCCTTCTTCGTCCTAAACGATCTACTCTGAAGAGTCGCGCAGATGTAGACCTTGTCAGAGAGTGGGTTTAACTCTTCACATTTAACTTTAATGGTTTGGGAAAGTAACTGAAGGTTCGAAAACTTTATTTGATTGATGACAATTCACATTCCTCAGCCTTTGGCATCTCCTAGACTCCGAAATTGCACTAGGCTCCAAAAACAATTTGCTTTTTTTGGCGACAAAATAAGTAAGTAATAGATTAAAACACTGAATTACTTGGTTATTCCATAAGTCTTGCAACAAATTGCAATAGAGTGTCTTCCCCAATCTCAATGAAGTTTTCTTCAAGTACAAGGCGATGTAAATAATCCGCTTTTTACCGCAGTTCCAAATAATTATTATCAAAAAATTATTTTCGGCAACGCGGCGACAATAATTATCGCACTATTCGTGACGGAAGAAAACAACCAAGCTGTAATGTTCACTTTCCGTTTTCATAAACGCTGGAAAAAGTATGATTTTACTCAAGTTTTTGTCTTGAGACCAAGGCTAAGAAACTTTTGTTGTTAGTTTGTATTAAAAGTTTTTGAAACTTTTTACTCAGCTTTTGAAATAAAAGCATCATATATGTAATGGAACATAACATGTTTCATAATTATTAAGAAAAAGCATAGATGTTTTGATGAGCGCGATGTCATAAAATCATATTTTTTGATATAAGGCCCTGGGCGTACGGCATACCTCACGCGATTTCGGTCGCTACGCAATCTGGCAATCTGCCAGATTGCGTAGCGACCGAAATCGCGTGAGGTATGCCGTACCGTGCCGTGCCGTACGTAATTCGCATTCAACACCTGCAGACTGCAAATGCACAGTATGTACAACTTCCGCAGATCGACGAGCCATCTTCTGTTCATTTATGAAGTGCTTACGTGAGTTATAAACAGTTGGAGTATTGCCAAATCGCGTCGAGGCTGAAATCGCTTGGGGTATGCCCGGGGTATAGCTTATGGGAGAATCTAATACCGAAGGGAATTTATCAAAAAGTATCAAACTTTCATGCTGCGGAGAATTTTCCCACTAACTGGATTTATTCATTTAAGGTATGTATTCCGTAATTCAAAGAAGACCTACTCTGGCATACCGATCATAGCGTCAAATATGGATACTGTAGGAACATTTGAGATGGCGGAAGCTCTTGTTCCGCACAAATTGTTCACCACCATCCACAAACATTACTCGGTAATCACCCAAGCTCTTGACTTTTCATAACAGCTCTCCAATATTGCTCTTAGCTCGATCAGTGGAAGGAGTTTCATAGCAAGCATAAAGAATCTGCTATGTTCAAGCACATAGCCGTCTCGACGGGTATATCTGATCATGATTTGGAGAAGGTAATTAATTAGTTTTTTTGACTGGCTTTCCCATCGTCTCAGAATTTCCTTATAGTTGAGAGCTATATGTGAGGCTATTCCGGAGTTGGACTATATCTGCATCGATGTCGCCAACGGATACTCGGAATATTTTATCGAATTCATTCGCAAATGTCGCGAAGAGTTTCCGAGGTGCGCCTGTATCATTTAATAGTTCCGGAATTGTATAATTTCATTTTCAGGCATACGATATTGGCCGGAAATGTGGTCACTGGAGAGATAGTAGAAGAATTGATCCTTACTGGTGCTGACATTGTCAAGGTAGGGCAAAATTTCTTCGTAGACAAGAGCGACGGAATTTTTTTTTTCAAATGAGGGGATGGCTCAGCCTCACATACTCTGAAGCAGTTTTTCGAAGCCTGCACCCCATAAAGGCTCTGACAATAATCATTGTTTGCAATAGTGTTCGTTGAGCAGTTTTGTATGTTTCAGTCAGTGTGAGCCGTTAGCTACATATACTTAAATATTTGCACGTTTTTGAAAAATTCTCTTTCCAAAATTTGCTCGCCGTGCACGCTACCAATTATCTCATTGCAGATATGATTGTTGTAGGTTGGTATAGGTCCAGGATCGGTGTGCACAACAAGAAAAAAGGCAGGTGTTGGATATCCACAACTGAGTGCTGTAAGTTTATGCTTGAATTTCTGTGTCTAATCTCAAGCAGAAATTTGGAATTTTATCCTGGGAGCTTGCGTTCCATGCTTAACATCACTGATTCTTACACTGAAACCGGGGGGCTGCACGAGCTGCATCAGGAAAATTAAAACGAAGTCCCCTTTGATCTTGAAAATTTCGTACGAAGTCCCTTTGACCTTGAGACCTAAACGTGAAAAACCCTCAAAAAATTACACGTAGGCTAAAAAATTGTCGCAATTTTTGTGTCTTTTCGGCACGAAAACGATATTTGCTTTGCTTTTTATCCCAGCAGTGCCAAGCCCCTGATTGATATTCAATATGTAAATTAGTCAAGAACTTCTCTGCAAAATGGAAAATGTCAAACATTAGCTTAACCATAAACGCAGGACGAGGTGTACCTCAGCTGGCGAAAGTCATAGTCCAAGTAAACCGTGCCGGTCTATAGGTTAGCATGAACAGGTTGAGCAAAAAGTAGACCATCGTGCCCCCGTAGTCCCTTATTATTCCAAGAATGAAAAGGTTATCCGTACTGTTCTAGACGATAGAGTGTGCAGATGCTGCGCATGGCTTGAACGGTCACGTCATCAGTGACGGCGGGTGCACTAATCCCGGTGACATCGCTAAAGCTTTTGGTGCAGGTGAGGCTCTTCCTTACGAATCTACTGGATTCCGATTTTATATAAGTCTTAATTGACATAAGTTTGTTTTATTCTCTAGATACCATCTCATTTTTGCAGGAGCCGATTTTGTCATGATTGGAGGTCTCTTTGCTGGGCATGACCAGAGTGGTGGAGAGATTATTGAGAAAGATGGACGAGTAAGTGGCATCCCTTGAAGTTTTGAAGGATTTTAAACGGCTGTCGAAATTTTTTTTAGAAATTCAAGCTTTTTTATGGCATGAGTTCGGATACAGCAATGACCAAACATCAGGGAAGTGTTGCAGAGTATAGATCGAGCGAAGGAAAAACTATAACCATACCGTATAGGTAAAGAACGATTGTTGATAGTGGAAAGTAGCGCTTTTGAATTTTCATTTAATTTCAAAAACTACAGGGGCGACGTCAACGCTACGGTCCAAGACATGCTTGGTGGGCTTCGCTCTGCATGTACCTACACTGGAGCTGCAAGATTGAAGGTTAGAAAATTTTCAGCTACTAATCCTTCCATTCGATATGTGCTTTAAAGCTACAGACCACAAATAGCCCTTTTACAAATATGTTGGCATTAGGCAATGCAACTTCTTCTTTAACTTTTGTCTCTTAAATGTGATGCGTTCACTTTTTGGTGTCGAATTCTATCATAACATTCGTGAGTTACTGTTAAACAAATTACAAGGGGAGAAGGAAAATGAATTGTCACAGATTCGGATGAAATTGGTCTAAGGAAGTTAATGCTGATTACGAAAATGATGTCAAAGTTTTCTGTGCCAAAGCTGTCTCTCAAATCTTTGAAAATGGGCATTGTTCCAATTGTCAAGGTTTCTAAGTATACCAACAACGCCCAGATTCAAGAAAAACGGAACCTGGAAGTCATTGAAAAGGATATTCATTTTGCTTGGTGAGCCGATTTTGTTACAAAAATTAGACTACGAAAAAGGGCATAATTTTTCACCCTGACAGAAAGTACGATATTTGTGTTCATTATGTCCATTTATCTTTACGCAAGGTTTTGCCAAAATCTGACAGTTCCGATTTTTCGACTGATGGATTTCCGAGGAGGCATTTGAGCATTCGATTTGTTCGACATCTCAAGCGACTTCGATTTGCCTCCAAATTCAATACCCCGCGGAGCTACCTCTGACAACATTTTGTCTACAAATCGGCTTCTTTCGTCAATTTAATTTGTATACGGCTTCATATTTACTGAAAGCAATACCAAAAACCTCGAATTGACTGCTCTTAGGAATATGCGTAGTTATTTTATCGTCGAAAATCAAGTAGTTGCAGATTTGTAGCTCTACTCCTGATCTACACAAAGTCAAATTTTGAGTGCACCATAATCAGTGAAAGGGAAGTTATGGACAAAGTTGCAAAATTTGTGTGCAACCTAATAACTTGCTAGTCCACTTTATTAATAAGGAAACACATTCGTTTAACAGTTGAATAACTTTGGACAGCTCTTTGTAACGGCTGCTAATCATTTTTGAAAAATTCTCAAAATTAATTAGTTATGTCAACAATTTCAGGAACTCTCAAAGCGAACAACTTTTATACGAGTTACTCAACAAACAAATGATATGTATGTGCCTTATGAAATTTAGGCGTGATTGTACGAATACCTCACGATTCAAGTTTGTTGTAGATTTTGCTTGTTCTGTTCATTGTTAATTTTTTTGATTGACGTTTTCGTTATGTAAACATGTTTCAAAATTTCTAAATAAATATGTTCATCCTATATACTTGCAGGCGCTCCCTAACTAAGTTGTTTTATATCTAGATATGCCACTCTTCTTTCTAGATTGTAAAGAAAAAAATTAATTATAGTCAGTAGTCGTCAACCATGAAATCAATCTAATCTTCTAGTTTCTTTAGATGTTTTTTTTTTCACAACGGCAGTAGCTCATTCATTGCAAAGAGAAAGGATGCAAGTGATGCTAGCGAAGATCAAATAATATTGCAAAGTTCAAAAGATGACTTTTTCAACATAGCAGTAGATGCAAATGGAGATTGCAAGTGTTTTGGCAAGAAACTGTAAGACCCAAGGGGAAAACTTGGTCTGCGATTTGTTACAAAATCATGAAAATAAATTACTGAGTACAACCGCATTACATCTTAGAATCTTATCTTATATTTTCCTCTGTAACTGAGATCGTGCCGCTACCATCAACAGCGCAGGCCCATTCAATAAATTCGAGTTTAGTTCCGTAGTCGGCATGGGCATCATCCTTCTCATAGAATTTGCACTGAAGTTTGCGTTTCAGCAATCCGCCAGGTCCCTAAAACAAAAATTGCGGCATAAGTCAAATGATATGATCACGAGAATACCCCTATTTTCAAATAAGGCGTAAGATTTTTGTTTAACAGGAAATTGAAGTTAACTCTTCTATTTGATTACTTCATTTGCGTAGTTCGATCAACAATTCTAGTAATTTTCACATTGCCTCGTTTTTCTAACATAGCGTTTGTAACCACGTCAGCAGGCGTATATATTGCCTATCTTGTTTGCAATAATGGCAATGTACTAAATCACCAGTGCTTTTTGTTGAGCAATTCATTTCCCAAATCTGAAGATTTTTGTTATTTCAAGTGATGAATCAGATTTGCGGAGGGCAAGTTGGAGCTTTCCCCTATCTCAGTAAAAGTTTTTGTGAAAATTGAGAAACGCCACTTCTCCTCAAGCGCTTGGCAATTCATTATTGGATTTGATTAGCGGAAGAGGGGGCATTTGGATCAACGTTACCCCTAGGGTCATATCGTAAAAAGCAAATTTCGTTGCGAACGCATATAACCTCGTTGGGCTTTTTCTACTGTAGAATAAAAAACAATTAAAGTTAGTCGATAGGGCCCCACATCTATAGATTTAGCAGGCCCTAGGAACTTTTCAAAGGGCCTATTATCGATGCAGCTATTAACGCGGGCGCTAATCTACTGCAGTGCATAGTAGTCAAAAGGTGTGCTTTGATTTGCCTAAAACGGCGTAGAGAAGGGGAGCAATAAATAGAAAGGAAAAAAATTGGCGGGTTATTATCTCTTTTTTTTTGTCTAGCGAATGCAAAGGTGGAGTAGCAGTCGAAGAGTCCACATCTGCTCATTGAAATTATGTCTAAACAATATGCACTGAAAGTGCAACATACATGGCTTGAGTGTAAAAATTAGATTATGGTCTAAAACTCGTTTCCCGGCGGATCTTGTGGAAATTCCAGATCAATCAAAGTTTGGGAGAGACTGTAGTAAATTGAGTCTCCGTGGGTTACTAACGAGGGAACGATCCCAACTTAAGGTGGCGATTTGGAATGAACCGCATATCATTAGATGCAACTTGATGAGCTGATTCCAAATCCACCTTCCATATCTGCGACAACGTTATTTGCAAAAAGTTATGAGCGGTTGAAAATGTGAAGTTTTTGGGGTTTTAATGCATAATGTGCTCCAAAATCCAACTTGAAAGTGCACAACTAGCATGATATTGAGTGTACTGGTTTCACGGAATGCTCACATTCAAAAGAAACACAAATAAGTGTTTTTGAACAACTAATTTTCGAGAAATGGCGGTGTATATTTGCCAAATTTGATTTTTCATTGCTCATAGCTTTTACCAGAGAGCTTTAGTTGCTTTTTAGCTGTCCAAAAACACTTATTTGTGTTTCTTTCGAATGTGAGCATTCCGTAAAATCAGTACACTCAATATCATGCTAGTTGTGCACTTTCAAGTTGGATTTTGAAGCACATTATGCATTAAAATCCCAATAACTTCACATTTTTAACCGCTCATAACTTTTCGCAGATAACGTTGTCGCAGATATGGAAGGTAGATATGGAATCAGCTCATCAAGTTGCATCTAATGATATGCAGTTCATTCCAAATCGCCACCTTAAGTTGGGATCGTTCCCTTGTAAGAAGTATCCTACAGTCGTTATTCCTAGGATGATTTCAAGAAATAAAGATTAAGTAAGTTGATCCTGCGAAAAGCTTCAGCTCCCCAAAAATGTTTTCAGGAGCTCTGAAGAAAATTCCTGCGACTACCATTGAATATTTGTGTGTTCAACAACGCATGTCATCCCATATGTATATCGAAAATCTAAGTGCAACTCGCTACATTAACTTGGAGTAAAAACGAATTATTGACCAAGCGGTGCAGTCATACTATGTGCCTACATTTAGAATGCGTGATACTCTAAAAATGAAGTTGAACCTTTTACTTTAATAGGAAAAAAAGATGTTGCTAGGAGATTAAAACTTCAACCTTATGCCGGGACTCGTTACTTATATCTTGAGAAAAGAAAACTATTTTACATGCGAGATTCGCTACAACATCCAGTACATACAGTCCCACTCAGAAACAACTGCTTGAGATATCAGGAAAAAAATCTTGAAGCCGTAAAAGCGATTGCGTCCATCTTGGCTAAGCTGTAAATACAGTAACTCCCCCCTCCCCCCTCCCCCCCTTCGTCGTGGTAGCGATTTTGCTTACTAAAAAATCCCATTCAGTTTTGATGTTAAATGTTTTTTGTAGTGCATCATGCAACTGGCAACGATTGTCAAATGTTGGAATTTGCGTGACATACAAAAATAGACTGTTGTTTTCACTGCATTTGGGATGACTCAAAACAAAAATACCATGAACGTCATACAAAGCCGATTAAAAAAATGTCCAGGCTTCACTCATGTGCTAAAAGTTTATCATTATCCATTAGCAATTGTTTAGCAGAATTCAAATTAAACTTGGAGCAACGAATTAGTATAAGTCTACCTCAAAAGATTCTCTGTAGTTATTTGGTATTTTCTATAGTTATTAAGAATTATAAAACCTAATGGTACAGTCATATGTGCCTTACATTTAGAAGGATCCGTGATACTCTAAAAATGAAAGCTGAGTCTTTTACCTCCTTACAAAAAAAAAATAAAATTTTGCCCTCAACCTTACGCTGAGTTGATGTCCCTCAAAAAAGTTCCACCTACAAGCGCTACATTTATTGTTTTTAGTCTCTGACCCTACCCTATTTGGGGAAAAGCTAAAGCAAAATTTGATACGTGCTTAAAAGAAGCTGTAATATGAGCATTCTGTTTATGAAATGGTGGTGTTTCGTATGCGCCGCGCAAAAGTAATGGCCCTCTTTTTAGTCGAAAGCCGGATTCATCATAAAATAATAACATCCGTATCGCCAATCTTTTCCCATATGAAAAATCAAATGCAGTGCTATGTTCAAGTTGTTCTGCTCAGTCTCTTTGGTGAGAGCGAGAACTTGAGCATCGTAGTAGCAAATTATACGGATTCCCAGCATATTTAACATATTGCTATGGTTACGCTGATTGCAGAAGATTGGAGCACTTAGCCTTTTCGGAAGCAAACATGGAACTGAATATAGAATGAACTTTGTGCTTTCGACAATGTGGGTCCTCAGTGAGGTTCAATTTCGGGAATTGACGGCATAAAACAAGTGAAATAGGGTTAGAGCGATCAAATGGAGGTGTCGCATGACTTCTTCAACCAATTTTAAGCAGTAGTAGATATAACAACTCTTCTTTTTTCTGTAAGTTTCTCAATGCCATATGGATTTCTCACGAAGTTTGAGCCTAAAATTGTAGTAGGTTCATTCAGAGTCTTACGGTATCAATGCCTGCTAGAAATTTGTCATATTGTAATACCAAAAACAGCGCTTGAAAATTGCCCTAGACAGCACGATTCAATTTTCGGGTCTCTTCTCCGTTCTTCGTGGGCAAATGTTGTCTGCGATACAATTATACTATACATGTTGTCGGTCAAATTTCTACTGATCAAGAGTCAATTTCGATAGAAATTAATCTTTGTTCTTTGCATATCAAGTTTATTACTTACAGAAGGATGTTGTTGAATTTATACTTGCTTACACCCTGGAAAGAAATGAGCGTTTGAGTAAGAGGTACCTGTAAAGTGAGGCCTATATTGTTCCTATCTCCTTTCTTGCATACATCGATGCCAGTTGTGTTCCACTCCGTCGTATATTCCCCATTTTTTGGGTCTTCTGTGTGCAGTTGTAAATCAGATCCTGCCAGATGCATGTGACTGAAAGTTTAAGGATATGCCAAGGAAATATCTGATGTTAAAATTCCATTAAATTAAAGCAATAAACTCACTGAAATTCTGCCGGAGGTTTACTCGTCAATGTTAACTTATACTGCGTATTAGTTGCAAACTTCAAAGTCCTAGATCCACCCTCAAATCGTCCTCCATCGACTTTGTACGAGACAGCATCTCCATTGGATAGTCGACTGAAATGTGATTGTGGTAAAATGTAATCACAAGACTTATTTAATTTTTGATCATTGTTGAAGATAATTTCTATTAGATAACGAAAGTATATTTTTCTGCTACTAGTATTGCCAACGATAGACATTGATATTTCAAGCTGCTTAAAGTGATCTATAGAGCAGAAACATTAGATTAAGCCAGCGCTTCTTGATGAGATAAGATTACCCACAACGACAGAAACAACGTAAAATCGCCACTTGTTTCCTCACTGGGCTCGCTTTCCACCATTGGCTATGTAACAACCTACAGTGTAGTATTTAGTATGTCTAATATCTTTAACAGTAAGCTACCAAACTTACTGTTGAGTCAAGAGTTTCAGACGTTAAAACACTGAAGAAAGCGGGCGGAACTTTGCTTCTTCACAAATGAATTCTTAAGTTCCTATTTCTTTGTTTTGAGCGCGACAAGCGATGACTGTTAGCAACATGAGCAATAGCTCAAAAATGTTGCTCATGTGCTTGTCAAAGACAGATGGCATCATGGCAGCTTGGAATTGATGAGTGGAGCATTTCGTAAAAAGGAATCTATTCTTCAGCGAAATTTACGCGCATTAGCTGTTTCTGACGGGCAAAAAAGCGCATATCACCCTACGACCAATTTTATCTGAAAGAAAAAATAATTGGAAAAATATGATGTGGATAATCATATGATACATCCTCCATTCACTGTATCATATAATTATTCACATCATATTTTTGGAGGAGGATAAGGATCAGCTTGAATCTTGCTTTTTTGGAGGATAAGCTGGATAATTTGAAATTCATGAAGAGCCACCAACCCCTTGTGAGTATCATCAGCGTTATGACTACTGAGTCCCTAATCTGCAGTATACAGTGCACCAGTGGCGGACCGAGGGGGGGGGGGCGCCCCCCCCCCCCCGAGAATGGGTCGCGAAATTTTTAAAACTTACCTATGTGGGTTATAAAATGTGCGAAAGACTTGTTTATTTTTGTAAACAAATGAAATATTTTTTAAAATTTTTTAAAAATTGAAATTAGCCTTATAAAAAAATTTTTCGGGAACGTGGCCGACGCCACGCCCCCTTTTTCCAGATTTTAGGGGTTCAGGACCCGCAAAAATTTTGAGAAGCACTCCAAAAAATTTTTCGAAGTGCGTGGCTACGGCCACGCACCTTCATTTCAGAAAATTTTTTGTCGCGCCCCCCACCCCCCGGTCCGAAATCCTGGGACCGCCACTGCAGAGCACATGTCTCTTTTTTCGCGTGAACTCCCGCCAGTTACCAGTATGTCTTGGTACCTAAATTCGGCCTAATAGCACTAATCATGACAGCTCTACTACAATACATAAGTTGAAAATTTTTTGCTTACATCGCTCACATCCCTGACACCTCTCCCAACTTACATCGGTAATACCTCTCTCCCAAAAAAAGGTTGTACAGTTTTTATGAGCGTCTTAAATCTGAGTACCATATTGTAAACTATGTTCAAAGCAGTCAAATGATAATCACAGGTCTACGTGTATCAAACGTGGACGGTATTTTGTAGCAGGCAACCACAATAGTAATGGTCAGAAATAAGGAGAAATTCGAGAATTTATTACTTCCACTTTCGTTGTTGCTCTAAACTTCGGATTTAACATTTGGCTCACCATGTGCAAATCTCGGAATGTGAATAAGACATGACGAGAAGGAACACCAATTAACATCTAAGCTTAAGATTATACCGTAAATTGATGCCAATAGGAAGTGGCTGGTCATTAGCTGATCTTATACCGAAACCAGTGTGTAGCGAACTAATCAAGAGGTCGCGAGAAACAGCGAAGTAAAATAGTGTCTGGCAACTAGTGAAACAATTTCTTGAAAAAAAATCACTCTGAATGGATCCACCAATGGTTTTAAGCTTTACAAGTAGGCATCTCTGCTTTTTTTGGAGGGCACGCTTGTATTTTCATCTGCATCGATTTCCGCATCGAAAATCATCGATTCCTTCACTGATTCATACTTGTCCATGACTTCGGCGAAATCAAATTCCTGCTAGAAACCATCGTTTTTCGCAGTTTTAAACAACAGTAAGCAGGGGAATCTCATCCTTATTTTTTGCGATAGCAGAAAGAAGCGCCAACTCAACACAGAGGACCTTGAGTTAAACAACTCTTAATAAAAGATGATATGGCAGAAAGGGGAGATGGAACAAAGGAAGAGAGGAGTGGTGAAGGGCGCCAGGGGAGAAATCGGACAAAAAAGACAAAAATAAACTTTGTGATTGTTAGATACCCGATGTTTTTTGAGACACAAAATTAGCATACTTTCAGCCAAAATGTAAACACATTATTCAAATCCTTTATCCATCGATCTTTGCATCTAGAATAATCGTGGTCATCCCATGCCAATTTGCATTTTAGAAGAGTCTAGTTCAGACCACGAAAAGAATGATGAAAATAATAGGGAAGATGTAAAGGAGAGATTAACTAAGAAATGAAGGAGGATAGTGCCGTAAGTGTTTATTGGAGGAAGTAGAGGATATCGAAAAAGGAGAAGGGAAAAGAATGTGAAGAAAGCTGTCCTTCTAACAATAAGATTTCCTCGCATTTTTCTCGCTTCGTAGAAACCAACATTTTCGGGTTAGATTGGTCCCTGTATTGACAATCGGATGTTTCTCAAGATGTTTCCCAAGGGGTTCTCGCGTGTTTCTTACAGATGAGCTAGCAAAATCGGGAAACAGAATTGCATCAGTGCCGCTAGCGCTTATTGTGAAATTGAAAAGTGACGTTGACGAAAGATGCATCGGATAGCGAAGCTCTTCACCGCTCATCGTCAGTTAATTCTGTCATAGAGTGCACAAGCAGTGTATTCGAAAACACCCTTTCCAGACATAGAGAGGAAGGTGAGTGACTGACTTGGACAGAACTGAGCACAATATAAAGCACACTTCTTATGATTCTTTCTGCAAATGCAAATGAAAATGATTCATTTAATACTGAGCGTCATTTTACAAAAATCATCCGAGAATATGCAAAATCGATACCCCTATTGAAAATGCTAAATGAAACGGTTGATCATGGGATTGTGAACTTAGCAATAGCTTTTTTTCTTTTTCCAGGTTTTGTGTTAGCTCTGAATAATAAATTATTGACGCAGATAATGCAGTGACTATACAGTGTACGTGAACAGGTTAGTAAAGTTTCCAGCATACGACAGCCAGTTTAATTTTATCAACAAAATTTTGAAGAACTTGCCGGTAAATAATTGACTGTGGGCCGCAGGACTTAAGAATGTAAGGAAGTGCATAAGCAGCAACAATATAACTTCAGAGCTTCCTCTCCTGCACAAACACAGAAATCCTATGATAGGGCACTTTTCGCTTCTCATAGTACAGTTGCCAAGCTCCTGTCGGAATCTTAGTGAACACCACATTAGCCAAAAATATACGTATCAAGCCTCGGCAATAATCTCACTTGCCGCGATCAGAAAGTAACTTTACATCACCGCAAGGTCTATATCGGTTTGTGAACTCCATTCGCAGAAAATAAAAGAATGTTATGAGATATATATAGAAGAGAGGCACTAGACATGCAAAGAGAAATGGAAACAATAATGAGAAACCTGAGATTGCCAATTTCACCTTACGCTGCTTTCCTTGCTTTGAACTTACTTCAAAAGTAGCTATGCTGTGTGATCCTACTGGTTAAAAAAAACAAAGTAACGAAGTACTTTCTTCAATCCTTGCGCAAACCCACTGTGGAGAAGCTCTTGAATCGTTTTGTTTCAAATTAGCTTTTGGCAGGCAAAATATACTTCAATATGCGATTGGCTACGCAGTAGCCAATCGCATATTGATATAACAGAGATAACAGAGATATAACAGAGAAATTCGAAAGATGGAAAACCCTTTTCTCTGCATGTCTCGAGCTTCACGCGGATGGTAAGAACTCCAGAAATTGGCTCCAAAAATTCTTATTAATTTGTAGGTAGTGAAACTAATAAAGTTGATTATAACGTCAAAGCGCCGTAATCCATAAGATCTATCTTTATGGAAACTCATGGTAGTGGTGTGGGACAATATTTCAGAAGTAGTACAATTTTTGAGTCATTGAGGGCTATATCACTATCACCAAGCGGTAACGATTCAGGGTATTGTACACCCTATGTTTGAGATATTAAAGAGATATATACGAAAATCTTATGATTCATTCTTAGGACTATCAGTACAAGCTCATTGACCATTAGCCAGGGCTGGGCATGAACAACGTACCCTCAAGTGCAGCATTGCGTACTTGTCACATACTTACAGGACTTAAGATTTGACATTCAAGTGCAAACTTTGGCATCACAGATTATGCGTACAATGATTGAGCTTTGTCTATGCCCTTTGGAATGTCGCGAAGTTTTCGGAAATGAACTCACTTTTATGTGTCTATGATGCGTTTATCTTTTGAATTTGACAAAATTCCGATCTTGCTAGTTGACAAAGAGGTCTTGCCATTTCTGTCTCGAATACCACTTTTCAAAATGTGGAAAAATCTAACAACTTTTTCTCCTTCACCGTCACTCTATTTTCAGAAAAAGAAAAGCCACAAGCAATGGTGAACTATGGGGTGGACACCGCTATAAACACTTTCATCATTTCAAGCGATGAGTTAAGTATTTTTTTCTGTTGTATGATCCAAGAGAAGTCCTAGACAGGAACATTCGGAGCAAATGAAGCAACAATTTGAGCACGTTGTTAAAGTGATAAAGGAGAAATGTGGGTATCTTGTTTTACAAAAACAAAACTTCGCGTTTGTGCAAATATTCAACTTATGAAGCGCTCAAATTATTGTGTACTGCACACGTTTATGGCGTAGCAATGCGAGCTGAACGAATGCTTTTATGAGAAAATCAGTTATGAAAATCTTAGAAAAAAAGAGATGTGCACGATTGTGATGTGGATTACATTAATGAACATCAGTCAATCTGAAAAATCCCTTTCTACGTTAAGAATATGTACGTATTTGATTATCGGAAACTAAAAGTCATCGCTCTTTGTTCTCATAAGCCTAGCTGAACACGTGCATCAGCAAAGAGTTAGATTTACACACTCATTATCGATATTTCTACAGCAGCATTCGCATGCAAATTGCCTAGTTAGCGAAATGAATCCTAAAAACAAGCAATCTTTGAAATAATTACCTGATAGAAATATGAAGCTGAAAAGCAGAGTTGCTTGGCATTGATTCCTGGGCAGGATCGATGCCAGAGAGGAGGGCGACGAGAACGATGAGGAGATTCGAGGCAGCGAGAGCGAAGGGTTCTGAATTCAATTGAAGCTTGCTTCACAGCTGTGCTTGGGTACATTGGCACTAATGGCCACTTGCCCTAAGCCCATTTCGTCAATGGATGCATGTCTGGAGCGCGCTCTTCAGCTTTTTGAAAG